CCGTGGAGCCATTCGTGGCTATGGTTGGCGGGCGGCGGCTGGCTCCGTGCACCATCGAGAAACGTGTCGGGTGGCTTTTTTTCTTTCTTTGGTTAAGTTTTATTTCACAACAAAGTCCTACGCGGTGAGCGGGGTCACAAGTGAGCGGCTGGGGCCCCCGGCCAGGACAGGGCCCTGCCGGGAGGAGGAAGAGGCAGGGAGGTGCTGGCTGGGGCCCGGCCGCTCAGACTTTCTTCTTGGCGTGGTTTTCTCGGCTGCTCTGCCACAGGCGCAGGCCGTCGCGGTAGAGGTTGCGCTGCAGGACGGCGCTGGCGCACAGAATGGCTCCCTGCAGGGCTCCCATGAAGCCGCACAAGAACACGTCTTGCCCTAGGAGACAACGGCGCCGTCACCGCCCGGCCCTCTCGTGCGCCCGCGGATGCTTGCGCTGAACCCAGCACGGCGGGCGGAGAGCCTGGCGACTCAGCCACTCCCAGTGGGGTCGACAGCTGCCTGAGGCCAGGTGGGGGGCAGCTCTGCACCCTCAGAAGGCACTAGGCTCCAGACACACGGCCAAACACCTGGGTCCCTGCTCCCGGTCCCACACCCGGGACTGCACATCTGGGGCTTGGGTCCCACCTGCTGGCCCTGCTCCCTAGCCTCCACCCTGTGCCTGGGCCCCTCACCTGGTGTCTGCTTCTGGGGTGCCAGCCCTGTTCCCCAGCTCTGGCCCCATGCCCGGGGCCCCGCTCCGAGCTGGGGTTCTGGCTGCTGGTCCACGGCAGGGTCTTTGTTCCTGGCCCCATGCCCACCCCGAGCTGTGCCCCCAACCTTGACTCCTGCCTGGGTTCCCCCCTCCCAGACACACAGCCCAGCTGGGGGGCAGACAGGGATAAGGGGGCTACTTTCAGCTGCCCCACTGCTGCACGGGTCCCAGCGCCGCTGCTGGGAGCTGGCTGCCTGGCCCCTACTTGTGCCGTTGGACTGAGCCTGTGTTGCCTCTTGTAGCCCCCTCACGAGGGGTCAGGGAAAACGGGCCCCAGCGAGGCACCTGGCCCGAGTTAGTCGGGGACTCCGACCCAGCGCCGGGAGGCGCTCTCGTGCCCGGTGGGCAGAGAGCCAGGCCTGGGCTGCTGCAATCAGCAGGGGGGCCTGGCCGTGGAGCCCGTTACCGCCTCGGGCAATTAGGGGCTGTTAGCAGCTGGAAGGAAAGACCGAGCCTCCAGCGCCCCCTGCTGCTGCAAAGGGAGCAGGGCAAACCTGCACCTCCCTCGTCTCTCTTGGGGACCATCCACCCCCCGACTCGCCCCAGGCTCTGCTGCTGGCAGCGTCAGCAGCATGAAACGGAGGGTCCCGCGGGGCCCTGAGGAGCAGCAGTGGCAGGGCCTCGCTGGCGTGGCCAAGCTCTGAGCCGCAGCCCGGAAACCGCCTGCCTGCCTGACCGCAAAGCTGCGGGTCTTGCCGGAGATTTTGATGGGCTTGTGTCCTGCCCTCACCCGGGGCTCTTCCCTTCCCTCTGCCAACCTGGACTGAGACCACTGGCTCTGATCTGCTGCCTTCCCCCACGTCTCAGCTCTCGGAGTCCGTTCCCTGGGGGCCCCCGTCCCCGGCACCACCCCCCGGCTCTGCTGTGCCCTCCCCATCACACCCCTCGGGGGTCTCGGCCAGCTCGCTTTAACCCCTTCCTTGCTGGGTTTACAAGGTGGGGAAGGAGGCGGGGCTGGTATTGGCATCCCCCGGGGTGAGTCAGCCCAGCAGCTTGGCTCTGGGAGACAGGGCGAAACGACAGCCCTACTTAGGGAAACTGAGTCGGGAGAGGAGCGATCCAACCCTAGGCCCCCCCGCAGCCATACCTGTCAGGAAGAGGTTTGGCACAGAGGTCTGGGGGCGTAACATGGCAGCAGTCGCAGCCTGCATGCGAGCGATGCCGTGGTGGGCGCCGTACATCTGTCCTTGGGGAGAGGCGAGGTAGTGCTGGGTGGTGAGCGGCGTCCCGGCGGAGACGCACTCGATCTGTGGAAGACCAAGGCAGCGAGTGAGCCCCTGGGCCCTGCGGGCGGGACACGGCGACTGAGCAGGGCTTGTGCGGAGCAGGGGGCCCTGGGTGTCGGCGGAAAGCTGGGCAGCCACAGGGTTATCTAATCAGCCACGTCCCACCCGACTGGCTGGGCTCTTCCCCAGTTTCCCCCGGGGGACTTGGCTTTCCCCTGCGTTTTGGATGGAGCCGGGATGTTCCTTGCTGCTTCCATGGCAGCTGGCAGGGCCTGTTCTCGGTGCTGCAGCCCCTGCGTTTCTGCCATGCCAGGCCTGCCTGGGGGGTGGGGGCAGACATCTGGGAGCTTGTTGAGCCTCCCCGGCCAGTTCAGCAGCTGCCCCCAGGGCTACCAGAGGAGGGTGGCGGCTTTGCATTCGGAAGGGCCACAGAATATTTGGAAAGAAAAGTTTGGGACTCAAGGAGGTTTTTCCCCATTGGAGGGGCCCTTCTGGCTTTTCAGATCATTAAAAGAGCTGGCTAGATTCCTGGAGGTTGGGTCCATCAACGGCTTTAGCCAGGATGGGTGGGAAGGGTGCGCCTGGCCTCTGTCTGTCTGGAGGTGGGTGACGGGAGGGATCACCTGATGGTTCCCTGTTGTGTTCCCCCCCTCTGGGGCACCTGCTATTGGCCCCTGTGGGAGGACAGGACACTGGGCCGGACGGACCTTTGGGCTGACCCAGGCTGGCTGCTCTGATGTTCTTATTTGCCAAACCCAGGGCAATTCCAGCGGCGCGGGGCAATCCATCCAGGCTGCTGAAGGAAAACCATGCAAACAGCTTCCCCCTCGCAAACTGGGAAAGGCTACAAACCCCTCTGCGTGCGCCCCACGCGCCTCACAGCTCAGCCACCCTCGCCAATGGCTCCCCGAGGCACCCTGCCCCAGGGGCACGCCAGGAAGAAAATGCACAGAGGCCACTGGCTAACACAGCGCTGGGCACAGCTCCACTGCCAGCTAACTAAACTGACCGGACCCCAAAGCAGCATGGAGTTCTCAGTGCAGTGTGTGCGCTAGCTAGGGCTTACAGCAGTCACGCTGCCAAAACGGGAACTTTTTGTACAGTTACTGCTTTCTAAAAGTGCCCCCGAAAGAGAGATTTGGGGGTTTGGCCCATCTAAATCCACTGCAAAACGTGGTGTAAGTGCTGGGCCAAGTCCAGAGTTCCCGGTAAGCTGAGCACTTGGAGAGATTCAAATGCCTCCCAGCTGATGAGCAGCAAGCCTGCAGCATGTTTCTCTACTGGTGGTGCACATCCGCCCATGCCTCGCTGCGCATAACAAAATGTAGCCTGCGCCTCTGGAAAGGTTAGAGGGAATCCTGGCCAGGACCTTGGTGCTAGGCGCTGTACAAATACAGAAGACAAAGATGGTCCCTGCACCAACGAGCTCCCACTCTTACTAAATAAAAGGTCAATGAGCCGCACATCCGGGGAAAAAAATACTGGTAGGACATTCGAGTTGCCCGTCTTACAAACTTGTGTTGTAACAGACGACCGTTCCGAGAGAGGCCCCAGGGGGGCCTACAGATAATCCCACAGGGATCCTGATCTCAAACGGAGGGCAGAGCTAAGGTTATGCGGGGTGACATGGCAGCAGTGGTTGAATAGGACTAAACTATGGGAGTGATCAGCGTATGTAGATTTTGGCCGTGGCACCGTTCCCTGGTTGGGGTGGTGGAGCGCATCCTCCATTCCCTGCACCAAGGGAATTAGGAGCTTGACTTCCTGCAAGAGGTTTCCTGATCCGCTACCTCTCCCCTCCATTGTGTGGAAGTCAGGCTGGGGGCTCAGCGGCCCGAGTCCAACACGGTCCTTTCCTGTAGAACAGACTCTTACGTGGCTCTCACCGAACGGTGGTGAGCAATGCGTCCTAAGTAAAAGGTTTCCTTACCTTGTCCTCCGCGCCAGGGTACAGTTTCAAAACAATCTTCAGGATGGACTCTACAAACGCGTCTTTCAGGCTCTCGTACTCCGCTCCCCTCTTCTGGACCGTCTCGTCTTTCCACTCCTCAAACCATTCGTATCGTGCAACCGCCAAGATGCATAGAGTCGATTTGCCTAGAACAACAGAGCGCTGGGGGTGCACTGCATGGCCATGGCTGGAAGGCCAGCGGAGCTACGACAGGTAGGCGTGAGCAGAGGCACAGCCAACGGACAACTCTCCCTCGTCTGGGCTGGTCCCACCAGTGCACGTGGCCTCTCCCTTCAGCTCCCGCCAATGCCAATATTCCTGCCTTTTTGGCTTCCCACATTTCCGTTCATTGCCCCCTGCTTTTGCCCGCCAGTTCTGTCTTGAGTCTCACCAGGCGTGAGCAGAGGCACAGCCAGGGGACAACTCTCCCTCGTCTGGGCTGGTCCCACCAGTGCACGTGGCCTCTCCCTTCAGCTCCCGCCAATGCCAATATTCCTGCCTTTTTGGCTTCCCACATTTCCGTTCATTGCCCCCTGCTTTTGCCCGCCAGTTCTGTCTTGAGTCTCACCCAGACAAGGTCAAACGTTCCTCGGTGCAGCATCTGAGCCTGCTTGAACCAGCGACTCTGGTATGGCTTCTCAGCTGGCTCCGAGTCAGAGGAGCATCCTCGGAGACCAGGCTCTTTTCGAGCTCTCGTTTGCCTCCCCTTCCTGGAAGCGTAACTTCCAAAGTCCCTCCTTCAGGACTCGTTCATTCACAGCACGACAGACCACCTGTCCCCAGCAATGGCGACTTCTACATGGCTCTCGGTTCGGAGCAACGCAATGCTGCAGGTAGCGCCTCTGCGGCGGGAGTAGCGTGGCTGGGCTAAGCGGAGGGTTTTGCAATTAGCCCCCATGATTCCAGCCCTCCCAGGAAATAATCCGTTCTACCTCCATGGGGAGAGGACTGTGCTGTTGCAGGTTAAATTGCCAGCCAAACCGCCACGTGGGTGAGCAACGAAAGGCAACACAGCACCACCAAACCGCCTCTTCCCGCACAATCATCTCCGTGAAGCTCTAAAACATCCACTTCTGATGGAGGCAGCTGGCGTCCCTCCCCTCCTGCCCCGGGAAAACGGGTCCCTGCATTTGCAAAACTGGACAGTGGCTGGAAAGACGGTCACAGACGCCCAAGAAAAATCCCTTCCAGGGGCAGCCCGTTGAAAACAAGGGCTAGATATCGCTCCTGCTCACCGCAGGGTCATTCTGCTCGTGGTACAAACGCCGTCCTTACCTGGGTATCTCTCCTGCCAGCTGGGGTCCTTGCTCGAGGGGGACGTAATATACAGCATGGGAATGTTCTCTGCAGCCTCTTCTCTGGAGGCGGAAAAGAAGCGATTCATGCTGCAGAGAGAGGCAGAGAAGCTGTTCAGCAAGTTGTGGCTCATCAGCGGAGACCTGGTAGGCGGCTGCTAACACCTCCAGCCTGCTCTGGAATCTCTGCCGTGACCCCTCTGCACGGGAGGCGAAGAGGCTTGTTTCGTGCCCCCAGCTGATCCTCCTTTGTCAGCCACCAGCAATTAATACTCTGGGATTTTATCCCGCTGGTATTTATCCAGTTGTTTTACCAGCTTACTCTGTGGTGCTGCACAAAATCCAAACACAGACGGTGTCGCAATGGCCCAGAAGGAAACTTTCAGCCTTGTGTGACCTGAGCTGCTTATCGGCAGAAGCCTTTTGCTGGATACTTTCCTCCTAAACCAGTGGTCCCCAACCTTTCGGGGCTGCCACGTGTCCGGGGGCGGGGCCGCTCATGCGCCGTGCGCCAGGGGTGGGGCCGGCCCAGATCATTCGGCGGGCGCACATAAATGCCCCAGGGGGCACCGCATTGGGGACCACTGTTTAAACATTTGCCTAATGTGCCCCTATGCTCCACTTTCCTCAATTTACCTTCTTGCCCTTCCTCGGGCAATAGAGCCTGGTCTCTGGTGCAGAGGCTCTGGGAACCTCAACAGCAGGGATTCGCAAACTTTTTGGCCTGCGACCCACCCTGCTCAACGCAGACCTTTCTGCGGACCAGCCAGCCAGCCACCCACGATCACAAAATGGGTGTGGCTGGGAAGGAGGGTGCAGAAGCGGGCTGGGGGTTCTGGGCATGAGGGGAGAGGGGGGCACTTACCAGGCTCTGTGCCTCCTGCCACTCCCAGGCACCATCCCTGCTGCTCCCATTGGCCCTGATGCTGACCAATGGGAGCAGCAGGGAAAGTCTCATGGGGAGTGATTTCCTGCACTTCGGTTTCCCCCAGTCGGGAGCAGCAGCGCATGGAGCCACTGCCAGCCCCTGCAAGGCAGCCCCTGCCAGTGCGGCTCACCCCATCCCTGCAGCAGGAAGCCGGGGCTGGTGCTCCAACCTTGGGGCGGGTGGGAGGAAGGGAGAAGCACAGGGCTGGAGCACCTGTGCAGCCTCCCCAGGGGGGGGGAGG